CACACACACACACACACACACACACACACACACACACACACACACACACACACACACACACACACACACACACACACACACACGTTCTGCTATTTAGTGGTTGAGTAAATGAACATGATATTTAAGTGACTGCTATTTCCTGAGCGCTGGCTTTTCTTTCCTCCTCCTCCAGGCTTTTCTCTAAATTTCCCCGGGGAGCTGCAGCCCCCTGGGCTTGGCTTGGTGTCAGAGTCCCGGCAGCCACGATACTTCATCAGGCTTTTGCACCATTATTGGCAAGAGCACTCCATATCCTCTTAGCAGTTATAGCTTTTCAATTTTCCTTTGAAATGCTGAGCCCAGCAGAACATATGGCAATATCTTGGCTGTAGGTCCAGGATTGGACTGAAAGCCTGTAAAACGGCCGTGCATCCTGAACGCGCAGCCACGGGCTACACTCACCGTCCTGACCTTTCCAGAGTCTCAGAGTGAGCTGCTGTGACCACTGTTAACGACATTTATAATAGGCACAATTACAAGATGCTGCTGGACGGTTTGACACAGTAATGTTACAGTGTGAGCTGTCCTATAAAGCATCAATCCAGCTCCACCCCCGCCACGTCTTACCTCCGCCCTCAGGACGCAGAGTTTGAAGAAAGACTAAACAAAGAAAAGAGAGAGAGAGAGAGAACTATCAAATATTGTATCATTTTCAACTGCTCAACACACTATGGATTTTTAGTCCATTCCATTACTAATTCATGGCGCTGGAGGGGCCGTGGCTGCGGAGGCAGGAGGCGGGTCGACCCTTCTTGAAACCTAATCTGGATCAATAGGGCTGACCTTGGGCTGGGCTGCTACCCGGCACACTGGACTAACTGATAACTGCTGCTTTATTCATTATATTCATCATGTAACACAGTTTAATTCTAAAGAGCAGCTGGACAGTTTGGGGTCATAAAAATGTTTATATGCTTTTCGACAGAAGGTTAGAAACAGGTGAGAGCACTCACACGTGGTCAGAGACGCACAGCCAGCAACTAGTTAGCTTAGCACATCTTTCTGAAGGGTCGCTGTAAATGATCAAATGATCTAAATACATGAAGTACACTCCTCTATGTCCTGAGAGCTAGAATCATTGAAATCAGTGGTGGATGAAGTACTCAAATATTTTACTTAAGTAAAAGTACAAATACACAGACAAAATTAACTCAGGTAAAAGTACAAGTACAATATTAACTTCTCTGCTTGAGTAAAACTAAGTACTTGCTTTTAAATAAAAGTATTACAAGTAAAAGTAGCCCACTCCCTAATCAAACTCTTTATCATNAGACTCTGTGGTGTTTCTTCACCAGTGATGCTGCTGCTGCAGGAGGCGGGGTCTAATGTTACAGGCCCACTCTGATTGGATCAGGGAACCAATTTCCTTCTTGTTATTTATTAGATGTAGAACTATTTATTTAAAAAAAAACAATGTAAACATGTAACACGGTGCATTGTGAAAATGCAGTGGAGCAGAAAGTGCAGATAATTGCAGATATATGTGGTGGAGTACAAGTACCTGAAAACAAATGTACTCAAGTACAGAACAAATACATGATAAATGTAATTAAGTATCATGGCAGAGCAGTTGAACTGGATTGTATTAGACTGTACAGGAACTGAATGTATTTGTTTTATGGACCATTCATGAACAAATATTTATACCTTTAGTTGGTCCTTTGCAGCCAAAGGCATTTACAGTATAACGGTGACACTGCTTTTGTTTAGAGCCCAGTTCGGATCCTGTAGTGTCTGTGTACCTGTTACACACTTATAGCTGTACCTCATGAGGAAGAGAGGGTTGTTCACTTATCAGAAGGTCGGCAGTTTGATCTCGTCCCGTTCTGTTTTTTATAAATGGTCCCTGGCTAAAATGTTTTACTATAATATTTACTTGAATGTTACAATGTGAACAACCTAATATTATATGACTTTAAAATCTCTTAATAAAAATAGCATCACAAACTGAGCAGCTTGTAATTGATGTATTTTATTGTGAGATGGGGAGTCATAAAAAATGAACTAAAATGAAAACAAAAACAAAAAAAACAATCATTATAAAAAAAGATGAGGGTGTTAAAAGGGGCGCGGGGGCATATAAAAGTGGGTGTGGTCTTGACACTGACATATAAAGTAACAAATTGGCACAAATAAAAACATAAGAACATACGTCATTATTATTTTGGCTTGGCAAAAGGACAGTTTGTGTGGTTAAGCATCATCCTTCAATACAACAGCACACACTCATGCTATTAGACATACAATTAGTTTTTTTTCTCAAAAGTTCAGTAGCATTATATTAGAGAGGGGGAAAGAAAACTAAACTAACATGAGAATGGATGCAGAGAGGTCACAGGTTCCAATTTTCAGGCTTGCAGGGTGCGGGTTTCTTTTTCCCGAGGAAAAACATAATTTTGTTTGTTCGTAAAACATACTTCAGTATGCCGGAGTCTCGTTTTCCAGGCGTGTAGCTGTAGTTGCCTTTGAATCATTTTTTTTCCATACTAAAATATATTATCGTATTAATACAAACTACAGTATTGTACACTACATAGTGTAATAAATAACCATAAAGAAATATAAAAAATAAGACACATAAATATAAAAGTTCTCTAGGACTAAACAGAAATACCCATCTCATTGGGGGGTGGGGATAATACTGCCATTGCTGGAAACATACAGTACACACACTGAACAGAACAGAACATAAAACAACATAAGAGACAAAAATAATACTGACAGGTAAAAACTTTGTTGAATTAAACTCCTGGGATTTGCCTACATTTTGTTACCTGAAGAGACATTTGAGCGTTTCGTGGTGTGTTAAACAAGTGCACTGAATAAGCTTTGAAAAAGGCAGGACACAGTTAACAAGTGGAAATCATACTTCATCATCATCATCCGTTTGAAAACATGTGCATCGTAATTCATGTAGTCGCTCTGCGTAGAAGTAAAAACGAGTCATCTAGAGTCTATGGTACATGATTCTGTGGTCGGCTAGATTCTGCTGGCTCAGGTCTGATCATACCTGCGAAGCTTCGACAGCGATATTCTGTGGCACTTCTGATTTGCATGTTTCTCTTGTTTTAGTTTGATTCTTTTTTGCATAAGCCTCAGGTGGGTGTTGGGTAGGGGGTTATAGGGAGGGGTAAAGAAAGGGTCAGACAGTTTTCTACATCTCCTTTCTGCTCACTCTGAACATTTAAAAAAATAGCTTGACATGACGGATGTTACGCTCATTTGCTTTCATGTTAAGACCTGAGACAACAAGATACCACGGCCATATCTGCTCGGTAAATACCAAGGTACAGCCAGGGGGTGGCTTGTTTAAGTTAGAATAAATGCTGTAAACAGCAGGAAACAAACTAACTAGATTCCATCACTAGCTACTTTTCCTAATCAGGCAGGAAATATCATATTTCCTGCATGTTCTGGTCTTCATGCTACAGTATGCTAAGTTTCTTGACAGGTCATTTACCGAACAGGCATGAGATTGGTATCAATCTTCACATCTCACTCTCACGAACAAAGCAGATAAGCATATTTCCCAATATGTCAAACTATTCCTGCAAAACACTGATAGATATTTTGACAACAATGTGTCTAAACGTCCTAAAAGGAACTAAAGTGAAAAGACCCGTCCATCTTCCATTGTTTTTCTTCTTAAGGCTCACAATCTGATCTAAATAACACAAAAAAAGAAAAGAAGAAAAATAATGCTAACATCTGCTAGCGGGATGATGTGGTATATCTAGTGCGGTAATACTGAAGGGTAGACAACACAACTCAACTGCTTAATCCAAAGGTAAACCAAGCCACTTGTAGTGCACAGGATTTTTCTCATTTTCCTTCCAACTTAATAAAATACTGACTTTTTTTTGTTCATTGGCAATAAAAAGGTATAGAAATATCTCCCAACTGTACAGCTTTTAAAGGTTAAAATATGAGTGATAAAATTAGTAACACTGATAAAAAGAAATGACCCAAGGTGTTTTAGTAATAAAACATTATCTAAAACATGTCGGCTCTAGCTTCCAAAGTCTGTATAATGCATTTCCTTTGTTAAAATTTGTGTTCGTCTTCATCTTTTTCTTTACAAATGGATTTTTCTAACAGTGAGAAATTGCTCTCCTGTGGAAAAGTCACTAGTATTTTTTTCAGGCACACCTGGATTTCTACACAGTAGTGAACTGAAACAAACTGTCAGAGTGACCAGACATCATCTCCTGGGTTCTTCCTCTGCACGAGGAGAGGAGGAATCTGATTGTGTTTCATGGAGGAGTCTGGTTCCTCTTTTAGTCAGTATCTCCTTCCTCCTGCGGCGTCTGGTTCTCGTCTTCAGAACCCGTGTTCCTGTTTGTTTCGACTCCGCTCTCCTCTCTGACCTCTTCCTCTGCATTCCCCTCCTCCGTCACCCCTCCTTCTGTATCCATCACCTCCTCTTCCTCCATCTTGACTTCCTCCTCTTCCTGAGTGCCTGTGAGCTCCTCCTGCCTCGTGTCAGCCTCCACTTCCTCAGGTTTCATTTCTATCTCTGATTTCTCTTCTTCTTCTTCTTCTCCTTCTTCTCCCACCATTACTCTCTCCATCTCCTCCTCATTCCCTTGCCCTTGCTCTTCCTCTTCCTCCTCCTCTCCTATCTGCACTACCTGGATGTCATCCATGTCTACCACACCTTCCTCCTCCTCCTCCTCCTCTTCCTCGCTCTCCTCGTCTTCTCTTGTGCTGCTTCCTCGCTCATCCAAATCCAGCTGGAGAGGGGCCATGTGCTGCATCTGCACGTGGTTCAGGGCCTCCATCTCGGCCGGGGCCTCGCCATCCTCCTCGGGGCTCTCCCTGTCTCCTCCTTGGCTCTGCGTCTCCTTCTTGCAGTAGGAGTAGCGGTGGTTCATGTGCTGGGAGTAGGAGCCCGAGTGGGAGAAGCGCTTGCCGCATTTGTCGCACTGGTACGGCTTCTCCCCCGAGTGTAGCCGCATGTGTTCAATCAAGTGGTGTTTGTGTTTGAAAGCCTTGCTGCAGATGCCGCACTCGTGAGGTCGCTTCCCTGCACAGAAAGACCAAAAATAATATGAGTCAACATATTTACGATAAATGACAATTCCCTCGAGTAAAAAAAAAAAAAAAAAGACTTTGGAGGGAAACAATAAACAGAACAATCACTAAAAACCCCCACACTGTCGCATGAACAATGCCAAAGCTGCCATAACGTTAATGTATCCAAGGAAAACATATCAAAACAATACAACTAAATCACAACAATTGTGCTTAAAAACCTTCAAGGAAACTTTATCCAGGCCACTTACACCTAGGCTGAGGTCATTTGGAGCTGAGAACAATGCTTTCAAGCCAGGTATCAGAGTAATAAAGAAAAAAAAGCTACAATGCCTCTGAGAGCATTGACCTGAGCTTGGCCACGGCATCATCATCTTAGAGCAATCCAAATCACTACCAGAGCTCGCCTCTTACAACATTTGGTGCTTCACATGAGGAGCTGGCAGTGCAGAGGTGGGGACTTGGCGGAAAGAAATTCTCAGACCTCTTCTACGCATGTTGAGTAATACCTGCTGGAATGGAGCTGTCCACCCCTCTTTATGCTGCAGCGCAAAATCCCCCTTTGCTCGCACTCTGACTCATCTTTCCCAGGATCCAAAAAAGTGAGTGATGGTGAGACAAGTTCCCTTTCCTTTTATTTATTTTTTGTTATTTTTATTATTATTCATGCTCCATCTGTGACTGGTGCTTGTGTTTTGTGTGTTTTTTGTGTGAAGAATCTGTATTCACCTGTGTGTTCATATTTGTGTCTCAGCAGCGAGCTGCTCTTCTGGAAGATCTTGTCGCACAGGTCGCAGGCGTACATGCCGCTCTCCGTCTTCTTCATCTTCTTCCTCTGAGGACCTGAGTCTGAGTCATTCTGCTCCTCCACAGTAGATACGCCCTCCGAGCATGTGTCCTGTCTCTCCTCCTAGAGAATATGAGAAATCGTGTTAATACATTGGTTGGAATTCAAAGGGAGGTTTGTTTCGCAGCAAAAAAACAATGAATGACTCAAAACAGAGAATACCAGTGAGCAGTGTTCGTGTGCTTGATGCCGTGTCATACCCTACTCATCAGTCTCTGTGGACACTTAACCAATCTTTTCTTTTGCCTGAAACAACCACACTGTTCACTTATGAGTGTACCTGCAGCTCTCTCCTGTCCCTGGCTGCTAAAACGCATGCACTGATACAGTGAACGAGGATGTGAGGCATTATTAAGAAGCAGATATTTATACACAAGGCTCTTTTTTACAAGGCAGGTCTATGCCAATCCACTTAACACAAAAGTATAATACAACAACAATAAATCAATGGGGCAGGCGGAGGTGTGGCGTTTAAACAGATTCCAGCAGATCAATAGGGGCGCTGCAGTAAAGTGCAGCCTCATGTCCTCTGGGCGACAGCCCAGGAAGATCACTCACACACAGTGAGATCTACATCCATCTTTAGGGGCCCATTAGGTGTCCGCACAATGAAGAACTATTAAGGGCTATTATTTTTACAAAGAGCTGAATTCTGACATTTCTGTATATGAGTTATTGATTGAGAATTTTGAAGGCTTTCACACTATTCATAATGTTGTAGTGGTTTTGAACAATGAGAGGTAATAATCTGGACTACAGAGTGGGATTCCAATCCACTGGCTTCTCAAAGCGGCTACTGGATTAGACACTGAAGCTAATGTGATTTGTTATATTAAATATGTTGCTTTTATTCTGTGGCTTTTTTCCAAAAGAAGACAAATGTCAGGTAATGTCATCTCGGTTTTTCAAGTCATTCTTTATTTTGTCAGGACACTAACGCTTCCTGTTGTTTCCAAGAAACCCCTTATACACTCTGGATTCTTTAATCCTAGTTGCCACATTGTCATTGTAGCCTCAGTGCACACTAGTTCTCTCATGTTTTCCCCAGTGTAGCCTTCTCTTATCTCATGAACCCCACAAGACTTTTTGATCTTTGGATTTTTGCCTGCTCCTTGCCTGTGTTTGTTTGCCTGACTCAGACTAACTACCTGTGAATCTTTGTTTTTGAGTCAGTACTTTGCCACTTTACCTCTTCCCTGTTCTCCTATGTGTTCTCTGTCGGTTTCTTTCTACTGTCTTTGTCACAAGTTAATTAAATCAGTGGCCTGGCTAAGTTTTCTCCAGTCTGTGCGAAGTGTCTGACAGTAGCTTTATAAGCATATGTGAGAGTGGTACTAGATATCATCTTATATGTTTGCTTGAAAGACAAAACTATTGCTTTCCAAAATATCAAACTATGATTTTAACAGAACAGGGAAGCTTAATTGTTGCTAGATTGGAATATAAATGGTTGCACACCTTCACTCCGTTGAGGTGGATGGTTTCGTGCATCTCTGTTCCTGCAGGGCTGTTTGCTGTAGTGGTATAGGTGTAAGCCAGCTGGGGGATCAGGATAGTCTGTTTGTTATTGGTGGCTAGAGCCCTGAGGCATTGCATCGTGGTCACAATGTCGAGGGGTTTGGCACTTGGCTGGCTGGCGTACAGTGCGATGGGACTGGTACCCATGGTTGAGAGTGGTGATGCCTCTTTCTTTGTGCAAGTTAAGTTTAGGGGTTCTTCCTCATTTGTCAAGCAAGAGGAGGGAGAAGGGTACATGCTGGCTTTAGCCACCACTCTCTCTGCTTCCTCTCTGGAGGGCTTTGGCAGCGATAGGTCTAGGGGTCCCTCTGTGCTCTGAGGGGTCTGGGCTGGTACTGGACCGCCAGCTCTCACGTTTAGTGATGATGCTGGCAAGCTGTGATCACCATTTATTTCTGCTGGGGTGGCTTCTGTAGGGCTGTCCTGGCCCACAGCAGGACTCATAGTGGATTTGTCCTTGCCTGGGACCAGAGATACCACACCGTTGGCTTCACAGGTATCCTCTTCCTCTGAGGGAGGTGTTGGGGCACCCAGTGATATTTGACCCTCCTGCATTTTGTCAAACCACTTCTTAACCACATGGACTGGAAGGCTCACTGAGTCAGAGATCTTGGCCAGCTCATCCTTGGTGGGCTCTGCATTTAAAGCAAAGTAGGCCTTGAGCAGGGACAAGAGGTTCTTGGGCTGGTTGCAGAGTCCTCCCTCTGACAGCAGGGCAGCAACAGCAGACTCAGACTTTCCCAGGCCTGCTCCATTCAGCCTGAGACAATCCTTCTTGCAGTGCTTGAGGGCATGGAGGGCTTCCAGCCCACCGGGACAGTTATCACACAGGAGACAGGTTTTAGTGGTCTTTTCCTCTTTTTCTTTTGTCTCAATGGACCTGGTGCCTCTGATCGTAAGATCTTCTGGGAGTTTCTGGGACTTGAAAGTGTCAGTGGTGGTGTGAGCTGGTGAATCTGGCCCAGGCTCTTTCTTCAGGTTTTGGGCTGTGAGCTGGCCCTGGTCCAAGCTGTAGTTGATGATGATTTTTGTATTTCCATCCTGACCCACAATAGGCAGACTAATGGCTGAGATGAGTTGCTGCTGCTGAGGGTGGAGTATTCCAGTGGTTAACCCCGAGTTCAACTGCCCCTGGCTTTTGGCATTGTTTTCCAGCACCTGACGAATGACATTGCTGTCCACTGCCACTTTGAGAGCATTCTGCAGGTCTGCCAGGTTGATGCTGATGGGCGACACCAGCCCCACAGTCGGCAGGACTACGGCCTGCACTGTGCCCAGAGGAGCAGCAGCACCTCCGTTGAAAACCCCACCATTCATGGCAGTCGGGGACGTGATCATTGTCGGCTTGTACTCGTAGTCCACAGGTTCAGTCTTGATCTGGTTGAGGGGCAGCTGCTCCTGCAGGGGCTTGCTGTGCTCCAGCTTCTCCCTGATCTGCGTGCGAAGGACTGAGGGCGATGTGGGCAGCACTGGTGATGGACCTTGGGTCTGGGTTTTGGTGTTCCCCAAGCGTGGTCTGCCGTTAACTGAGATGACGCTGATGCACTTCTTACTGCTGATGTGGGAGCTGTATGAACCTGAGTGGGAGAACCTCTTCTTGCAGTTGGAGCACTCATAGGGTTTCTCTCCTGAATAAAAACCACAATGTGTAGAACAGAGAGAGAAAGAGGGGGAGGGGAGGCATGTTTCCATTAGTGAATGAACCTAAATGAGCAAGCTAGGCTATGAGCACTATGGCAGGAAAAAGCTCTAATGCGTTTCAACGATGCTCAAACGCTGATGTAATGGCACCATTGGGAACCCTTCTCTAATTGCTGTCCCATAATGCAAAAAGAAACACAATTATGGCACATTAAGGAAGAGCACACAATGGACCGAAACACAATGGATATGTAATACATGGAATTGGCTCAAACATAAATAAAACATAAATACGATTTCAATGGAAACAGAAACATCTGTGGCCATGAGAGACTCATGGCAAAGACATGTACACTAGACCTGCTCAAGTGCACGGACACGCCCTTTAACACACACACACTGCTGCCATCGTAACAGCATGGGTTGTCCACTCACCGCTGTGGATGCGTAGGTGCTCCTTCAGATGATGCTTGTATTTAAATGCTTTGCCACATTCAGTGCACTTGAATTTACGATTGCCGCCCGACTGCGTGATGTGTCTCTGTCAGACGAGAGGGGTCACTCAGTGAGATACACAATGAAAACACAACCTTTGAACTGCCACTAATTCATGTCACAATGTCATTAATCAATCGAGGGCAAAAGTTCATGTTTATTTATCATGTTTGGAAGCGGGCGGCTAAAGAAGAAGGACTAGGCTTCCATGTCAGGTTGTGTAATTTAGAATCACTTTGTCATGATTAGTGTAGTACGCAAAAGTAGAGTGCTACTGAAATGAATCACAAGTCATCTAATCTGAAAAGGTAAATGTAAAGTGTAGACTGTAGCAAATTAATAATAACGCACAAACATTAAACTACAGCTTGGTTTCAGTCAATCTTTTAAAATATTTATGTTCATCTGTACACTTTATTAGTAGAAGTAGTAATAGTACCAGAGTAGTTGATTGTTCTTAAAAGAGGATTCATCTGGCTGCATTAAGTATTTAAATCAAATGTTCCCTTACAACGTTAAACACTGAGAGCAGAATAAAAATTACATCATTTAAGATTACATGATAACATGATGGGAGATTTTTCTGTCTAACCAGTGATTGCATCATCAGTATCCAGACATGAGTAAAGTGTAAAGTTTTTACCTGATCCCGTCCGCCCTTGTGGACTGTCATATGCCTCTCCAGTTGCGCACGATAAGCGAAGCTGTAGCTGCACTCGGGGCAGTTGAAGCTCTCCTCTGTCTTCTCGTGTCGATATTTGATGTGCTCCTTCAGGGAGCTGTAACGCTTGTAGCCGCGAGTGCAGTAAGGGCAGGTGAGCAGCTGAGAGAAGGAATCAGGAGTTCCTGGATGGAAAAAAAAGAGGAGCGATTGTCACGACATGTGAGAGAAGGAAGTGGGGAGGACAGGAAAGGGTTACAGACACATGGTCAACAGCCAGGACTCTTTGATGTTCCATATGGGCTGCTGCAATAACACTCCTGTGTGATTTCACCAATCACTGAAAGTTCCTCCCTCTCAGGTAAACAGCACCCAGGTAACCAAACGGGAAGAGGCTGATTACTGATCCATTGTAACACCTTCCAGTTTTAAAGGACTGTGTTTTATTTTTTTTATTTTTTTATTATTTGCTTAGCAGCTACAGCTTTCACACCTGAAATTCCACCATCTGAACACCTATTGTGCAATTGAAGTTTTTTTTTTTTTTTTTTTTTTAAACACCCACGCATGTTGGAAAAAGTGAGCTTGGTAAACAACTTCCACCTGTCTGGATCCATACTGGTGAACAGAGGGTCTCAGTCGCCTGGCTCCCACACAGGTAAAGCATTACTGTGTTAACAGGTGATGTATTAAGTTCTCCTGTGGGACAGGTGAGGGCCCAGGGATGGGAATGCACACACATTACTGGCCAGGTAGCCGTGAGTCAGAGCTCGCACAGACGTGACAAATTTACTCAGGTGTTGCTGTTCCTCTTCCCCCCCCCTTTCCTTCCTCCCCTCCCTCTCTTTTTTCCCTAGTCTGTGTTCGCAGGTAAAAGGCAAAAGCCCGGGAGCCATAAAAGGCCCAGTGTGCTGCACTTAACAAATTGCAGAGTGTGTAATGAAGTTGGAAAGTGGCGTTAATGGGATGGAGTTAACACCTGAGGTGAGACAGGGAGCAGGTAGAGCCATCTCCAGGGGGCGTAATTACTGGGTAGGTGCAGTAATCGTGTGACAGCTCATTGACTATGAGATCACGGGTGGAAGTGCTGGTTTGTATGAAGTAGAATATTGAAACACAGAGTGCATGGCGGTAATACACCTTGATGTTGGTTGCCACCCGCCAATAAACCAAACAAGAAGAAGAAGAAGTACTGGTGTGTAATTTAGTGTGATTTAGGGACAAAACAATGCTGTGTACGCTAACAAACTAATTAATAAAAACAACAAATACAAGTAATTCTGGGGTCCAAAATTATGTTGATGAGAAAAATCTCTTTTGTCTTTTACCATTCTCATCGTGGACACTGGCATCAGGCGTGCCCTGTCGTTGCGGCTCATCTTCCGGGGCTTCTGGGTAGATGACGGCTGTGTCTCCTTGCTGGAGCATCTCCTCCACCAGGGCATCCGTGCTCACATTGTCTTCACCGTCTGACACACAATCCTCCTTCACTGCGAGACAAAAAACACACACTGATAAGAGTCAGGCCTGCAAAAAGGTATTATTGATTACCCTGTTATTTCATGGCTGACATGCTCTCCGCATTGTTGCAGGCTATGCATATGAAACTTTAACCTTTATGTATGAAATGCAATAATCTAATAATGTCACAGTGAGTGTCATTATAGCTGAACTGGATCTTCCAGTCCAAGCCCTTGATCATGACATGTTCACCAGCATGGAATGAGGCATGTGGCACGGGGAGAAAAAAAGTGTACGCTGTTGTTCATAATAGGATGAGAAAACTAATTAGCATCAAAGGCCACAGGCTACTGCATGAGCGTCAAGCTCTTTGTAAGAACTGAATGGCAAACCGCTATTCACAGTGTTAGGTAAGGTACTTGTTGACACTGGGGCTGATAATTAGGTGATGAATCTTGTCCTGATGTATTGTGGCAGATAGAATCGCACAGGAAAGGATGCATACACATGTTCACAAACACACACACACACTGGCCTTCAGACTGTGCTTCAAATCCAAGCAAATAAAAACCTGCATGTGGGAGCTCAGCGCGTTCCTCCTCCACATCACATAAGCACGGCTAGCTAACGTCTAACGAGCACTAATTACCAGGCAGTGGCTTGTAGGATGTGTAACCTGAGGACAACGTAGAGGATGAAACGAATGCTTCCTTCCCTCTCTCCGTCTCTGCTCACCCATCGTTTCCTGATGTGGAGGCCGGAAACCAGGTATAGTGTGTCTGCGATTAAACCGAGCATTATGCCTCTATGGATATGTTAGTGTGCCTGCGTGTATCATTACAGAGAATAATTACAAGGGTGAGCTATCAGCTAAAAGCAAAGATGGGCTACTGAGGATACTGTGGAGGTGTTTATAAGGCAGATGTTTTATGGATTGATTTAAGCGCTCCCACTGCAAGTGGAGATTTGAGGATTGTGTTTTGTGAATTGTGTGCTTTGAAAGACCAAGGGCCAGCTGCGTTTTCCGCGGAGATGGGAACAGGTGTAGCGCCTCATGACTCACGGACGCACAGGGAATGCCAGTAGTGTTACGTACAGCCCTGCTCTGGCTTCCTCTGGTGCACCTTAATAACGCCAGAAAACAATAGGAGAGTCATTTGTTGCTATGGTTATTGAAGACCATTCATAGAAACCTCCCACCCTGACACAAACACATAAGAGATAATCCAGGAGGAGGTTGTCTGCTGGAGAATGTGTATGTGTGTGTGTGCATGTGTGTGCATGTGTGTGTCGAGCAGGACCCAACAGCAGGTGCTGAGAAAGTCAAAATGAGGAATTCTCATCCCACAGTGGAGGGTCAGGAACACATTAAGTGCTGCTAACCCCGACATATCACACAGCTTTTCTCCCACGACCTCAACCGCATAAATTAAACACCCCTGGACATGTTTGCCACATTTTTATTAACTGGAAATAAATAACCCAACATTGTGACTGTAAATTAAAACATACACCTACACGCTATGTAGCTCCCCTTGTTTCCAGTCCTAATGCTAAGCAACGTTAACCACCCACTGAATTTAACAGACAGATATGAGGGTGATACTTTAGAAATTTAGAAAAATTGTAAAATATGTGTAGTAGGCAGGAAAGTGCTGATCCAGCTGTGTTAAGCTCCCATCCGCTGCTAAAAGGCAGCATCAAACACACAATAACACCTCCAGGCAACTAAATGTTGACCAAGTGTGTGAAGTGGAGTCCCAGTTGAGGGCCTGTGGTGCAAAGGTATGACAAGCTGTTGTTTTCTCTCAGCCTGTGTGTGTGTGTGTGTGTGTCTGTGTGTGTTTGGCTCTCTCGTCCTTTTGTTTAGTGCAGAGCGAGGCCAGAGGGGTTCACAGCCTCTCTGGGGCGGCTCTGTGTTATCAGTCTGCTCCCCTGACATGAAACATCACACAGGCCATTTATGTGCTGACGCAGGGATGTGAATGCACCACTGCACAAGTGGAAAGCAGCCACAGAACTCCGGCCCCATGAGGCTGTAGCGGGACATTCTGTTGCAGTTCTGAAAATCCAAAAAAACCTAGCATAACCTGACTACAGTATGTCTTAGAACAAAATAAGCAGACCACCTACTCTCTCCTCTTTCCCACACTCCTTTCTCATCATTCTCTGCCCACATCTCTGCAACATGATACAGCGCTATCCCATGATGCATTTCCTGGCCTGGCTCACCTCTGCCCCCACTGCTTCCTGTGGTCGTGCATCCAGACCAGACCCAAGTGATTCTATCTTGCACAGGGAGAGACATATGACTGATAAGGATTTTCACAAACCGCTGGAAAAATTCCACCATTGCTAGTTAAGTTTAAGACGTTAAACTGAGGAGATAAGTTAATGGAAAGACAAGCGGTATTTCCAAATGTTGGATGATTTGCTCCACCTTGGCTTAGTGCTATGACACATTTCTGCTCAGTCTCCACTTGTGTTTCTTAATAGCTCTCTGAGAAGGGTGTCTCTGTTTTAACATCACATAATGACATATAGCACATAGGAATGTAGGTGTTCCTGTGTGTTCTAGGGGACATAGTGTCAGGCCAACTGCGAAAGAGTGTCATTGGCCTGAAAGCTTTGTAACATCACTGCTAGTGGGAATTATGTAGTGCAGCATGAGTGCCCAACAAACACTCTCAGAATTCATCTTCTTGCAGCTTTAGGCTATAGTTCCATGCAGTTAAACCTGGTCTTTGTCACTAAGTGCATCATGATATCCAAGCTCTCCAACTTCACCCTGCCTATTCTCTGAGATGTAATCATGCTCTACAACTTATCAAATGTAGAGCAGAGGCCCTCCCAAGTTAACTCTCTCTCTTTACCTTCTCCTCCCTGGAGTTAGTCGGCCTGTTCTTAGAGGAGAGCAGGCTGCAGTGTACCGCACCAGCACTGTGCTGCTCCACTGCTACATAATCATTTAAGAGTGAATGAGTAATGACAGCTAGCAGGGGGCCCATGATACCTTATAATCAAGAGGGATGATTCAGAACAAGAGACACAGTGAGAGAGAGAGAGAGAGAGAGAGAATGGGAATGCAAAAAAAGAAAAGCATTGCAGGAAAATAGAGATGGCAAAGGGCTGGAAAAAAACGCTGTTTGGTTTTGGAGTGCAGCAGTCTCAGGAGACGGGGTGTCAAGGCTTTAATTTGAAGCAAACTGGGCTACGCTGAGGAGAAGATTAGTGGGTGGTGGTCATTTTTCAAGGCTGAACCAGAGAATTCTCTGTTCTCAGGAGTGAAACCAGCAAAGGGAGGGATGAAGGGATGAGAGATGAGAGAAGTGTGTTTGTTTAAAGGACTGTGGCTTTCGGCTTGTTTCATCAGACCCATCTAGAGTGACAGCATAGATGTTGCTTGATGTATGAGATGAGGGCTAGAGAGGATGAAGAGAGGCGTGTGTGTGTGTGTGTGTGTGTGTGTGTGTGTGTGTGTGTGTGTGTACTCGCATGTGTTTGCGTGTGTATGTGAGTGAAGGCAAAAGAAAATATGCCTGATCAGGCAGAACTGTGGAGCAGAGCCAGCTTGCTGAGCTGTTACAGTGTAACTTATGTTTTTGAAGTGTTTAATGTTCACGAACCCCGGCCAAAACCAATGACATTATTCTTCCTACAACTTTCCCTTTAAGCACAGAGGTGCGGCTTGAGAGCAGTGATGAAAATGACGGAATAGTCAGGGGAATAGGTGGCTACACCGTGTACAGGTCAGAAACCATGCAACTAAAACCAACTGAGCTGAAACTGAGGTAAACTCATGGAAGAAGAATTTCTAAAAAGTCCCTCCCTAAATTACATTGATAGGTTGCTAAGGCTAAGTTGGCCGATTGCTAAATCAACGCTCCCCCTCAGTCTCACCCGTGAGAAATTCAGCCAAAAACTGCAAGATGCAACACTCTACAATAAATATTCTTGTGATTGAATATCACATCAACGTGTTTAATTACATATGGGCTTGTCACATTGTTGCACATACTGTACTTGGCACAGCCTCACAAGTCCACTGATGCATATTTATATACACACATGCAGTATCAGGTCAGGAGCACAGCATGGAAGCCTTGAGCCCAGCTTGAAACAGCAACATCCTTCAGCACCTGTAATTGTTGTTTGGAGGAGTTTGTGTATGTGTGCATGTGTGTGTGTCAGCCCTTCCTGTGGACGTCAGCTGCCTGTGATGTCACTTCCTCATGGTTTGAGGTAAAAAGAAGTTCACTGAGGCCCCTCCAATGCCCACCAGTGCTGTAAACCTCTCCACTTGTTCTGTGCTCGCAAGGCTGTTTTCTGTGCTTGAAGGTCTCTCCCTCTGTTGGCATTGTCTTTGTTTAATATCACGCTTCCTGCCTTGGTTAGAAATCCACCACATGTAGTACCTGCTTCCTCACACTCCGCGCTTCACAATGAGACAAAGCCTGGTACTTAACGGCGCACAGATGTCATTGAGACATTTTTTAACTTAGCCCCACATCACGTCATCTGAGACCAAAATGAGATCAGACAATTGATGTCGTAACAAAAAGATAAAATATGCTTTTATGTGCTGGATGCATCTGTAACTACTGTTCTTATTCTGAGAAAGTAGGAGTAGCTATCATTTTCAACAAACCTTTGTCGGCCTCGTGATGACAGGACTGACCCAGGAACGAGACTTAATGATTTAAATCTACAAGTGTAGTTTTGATGATACTAGTGGGTTAGGGTTAGTGGATACTAGTCATTCTGCCTTTCTGAATTGACCAACTCTCAGTAAAAGAAAATTCTCACAAATAAGTCATTTTCAGATGCTAGCTGTATGTGACTCAAATGTCTTCACATTTGAGTCATTCTGAGATATTTGTATTCTTTTTATTTTTTTCACTTGCCTCTACCGTGTGTTAGAAACGTCATCAACACACTAACTTGCTCTCAGTGAATCCTGTGGAGAATCTTCTGCTGTTTTCTCATATGGGCTCACTGTGGGCATTATCCAGCGTTTTTACTATGGGGCTGGTGGGAGAAACTCGAGAGAATGTCTGCAGCAACTGACTCGGCACAAAAAGCCCTTCTGGATAATATCAGGAATCTGGAGTTCAGTGCATGTCTGAAGGCAGCTACAGTGTATTAAGCGCTGTTGTCCACTATCGACATATATGTTTCTCCTTCTACAATTTCACAGCAGTACATCTGAAGTGGTGAGTGTGAAGTTGGTGATGTGTGTTTGCATGCTTAAGCATGGATGTGCGATAATTATAATGCACCCTATGAGTCTCACCTCGGTCCCAGCAGTGGTCCCTGGGGAGCTCATCATCTGGCAGGGTGCTGTCGCAGTCGGCCCCATCCGCCAGGCTACTTTCCTCCTCCACAATGTGCAGCTTGTCCTCATCGTCCGACTCTGAGCCGGCCTCCACCACATTACTGTAGTTAGTCACTGCGCAAAGGGAACACGGGGGACAGAGGTTAGAATGACTTGTCTGATTGTGTCAACTCTTTAATTAGTCTTAAAGGGAGAGTGAACAGGCTGCACTTTTAGTATTTCTATCCTTAATAAAGATAATGGTAGGGGTACTGTGTGAGCTCCTTGATTATGAGTACTGAATGTGAAAGGCCGAGAGTTGTAAAGGTTAAATATACAGTAAATGTCAAAACTATTAGAGGGAATGGTTGAAGGAAGAGGGTGTAGTTAGCTGGAAACACCAATTAAATAGATCATGGCCCAACTTCAGTTGATTAGATGAAACTTAAATGATCCCTGTGGGGAAAGTGGGTTGTTAAAGTGGGGACTCAGGGTGTTAATAGGGGCTATTAAAGAATAATGCAAATGGTGATTATTGACGCCTTAATGTAGATAAAATTATGCAAATGAAAACCAAAGAAAGACTGGAAACTAAAGTAAAAACAAGAGTCATAAAGAGAGGACATATCCCCAGAGCACCCACCCAGATGTAAATATTGAGTAATGCCTGCGATAACAAGTTTATGCCTTTTAATCCATACTCTGTAAACAAGTCAAACTCGTTCCAATGAAAACACACATTTTCATGAAACCTAAAGCATCAACTTCACCACCTGATAAAGTAAATAAAAATTTTATAAAAACTTTTCAGCTCCACCTACGAAATGATTACAGATGGACTGACACACAGACACACTGATCACTATGTCCCCATACCAGGGGGATAACAAGCTCTTGAACAACACGCTCTGTGTTGCAGAGAAACAGAGAAAATTCACACTTGAAACACTTGCGGACACACAGACAGTACCAGTGTGAGATCATTAGATTGCAAGCAGAAGTGGTGTGTGTGCTGTGTGGGAGTCGGTGTGACCTGGTCGGTTGTGTTATGGGCTGGAGGAGCCAGGAGAATCAGAGACAGCCACCCCAACAGAGAGGGTTATTATGGGGAGTAAATTTTCCTGACCAACTGTGTTCTTCAGATGTGTGTGTGTGTGTGTGTGT